AATTTTATAAATTATATATATTTTCCGTAGTTACATATATTAAGTACTTGACGTTTTATGCATTCAAATAATGTAATTTTGTTTGTGTTTTTATTTGGATATTTTAATAAATTGTTGTTTTATTTCATTTTTTATGATCATTCTTTTGAACGTATCATATATATAATATAGATATATTCCTGAAATATTTCCGGTTCCCCATCTTCTTTTTATATATCTCTTCGAAAACATACAATTGAACAATAAATTTCGTTTAATTTTTGTTCCATTATTTAAATATTAGTAAATATTCGTCAACCAATCGTAGACTGGTCAAATATTTTCCGACTATTTTTAAGATTATATATATTTCTAGTCACAATTTAAAAAAAAAAAAAATGAATAAATAAAACATTAGAATTTAAATTCGTATGGTCCTGCTTTTCCAAAATTTTATCTTTGCGTATACGTCGAATTGACTCTTAGATATGCTCTTTATTTTGGAATTAAAATAATTTTAACATTTATGGGAATAAACCGCCTGCTTGCGGATTTGAATTCAGTAAATACACAAAAATAGAAAATAACGTTCCCAAGGATTCATGTTCTTCTCATTGGATCTTTCACCAGAATTTATAAACTGATGGAATTTTTAGAAGTTTAAAAAAATTTTTTGAAAACCATTTATTTGTATAAGATATTTAATTTAAATTTTCTCATCATTTTTAAACAACTTGAAAAAAAGATTCTTTATAAATTTAAAAGATTTTCTCCAATAAAACTTAATTTAGAACATGTTTCATTACACCACCATTTTTAAATCAATGTACTAAACAATGAAAATTATTAAAACAAAGTTTATTTGGGGAACAAAACAAAATTTTCAGGTTCTCGGCCCTATTTCCTTTCCCAAAGTTTGACTTGCTAAGGACATTAATTTCTAAACAAACAAAAAAAAAACGAAATAAATGATATATCTGCACTGTATTTCAAGGAAAACAAAATACAGTGGATGAAGGCGTCAGTTAGATCCAATTATTAGGACCCAAATGAGTGTGAGTTCAATACCTGGTTATGGCAATGGAGAACTTGGAGATATTCTATGCATCCATAACTGATAACTAAAGAAATTAACATTTCAAAATAACATACAAAGTACTATATTAGCGAAACTAAGGGGTTCAGTTCGACATACAACCAAATAGGGATATACTATACATACTTTAAACATACAAAAATATGTAATAAATATATATATAAATATATATAATATATATATATATAAAAGACAATTTGGAAAAGTTGAGTTCTTTTTCCGTTATACTAGATAAATGTTAAAATATTTACTTCTATAAATCTTTCAGAACTTAGAAAAATTTTGTTTTTTTATTATTAATTGATTTGCTTAATTAACATCATTTCTAGGTTTTAAACGAAAAAATCAGTTCAAATGAATTTTATGATCAACTATTGATTTGTCATTATTTTTTTCTATATTGATTTTTTTATTTATTTAAAATATCTTTTCTAGAGTTAATTTATTAAATTTTTATTTATAAATATATATATACCCTATATATATATACATTATATTATATAAATGAATGGTTGAAACAATAAACATGGCTAAATTCAACACCCTGACTGCATTTTTAAATGATGAGATTTTGTCCACTTTGTTTTCGCTATCAACAAATGATTGTGTATTTTCTCATTTTTGTTATTTTTTTTTTTGTTAAGTTAAAAAGAATTTTGCACTTTTATTGGTAAATTTTTCGCCTTTTTTTTTTTTTTGTAAAATGATACGTATATATATATATATATATATATATATAACTGTGTGTTCATGTGTAAATGTCATGAACCATTTTTCCATTTCGTTATTTTCTTTTCCGCAAATGCAATTTCTCGATTCTTTTTCCTGGCTCTCAAAGCTGAGTGTAATGCTTTTAGTCATTTCTGGTGTCATCAAGAAAAGGACTTTTAAAGGATTTTATACCTTAAACTCATTTTTGGTAAAAATCCAGGGTCTTCTTAAAAAGATTTTAAATTTAGGTGTATTCATATTTTTATTTATTTCTTGTTTAAATAATTAAATTTTTTAATCAAAGCTTAAATGGCAAAGTATATATATATATATATATATATATATATATATATATATATATTTATGATGGACTCTCCAGTTGTTTTCAACATATGACTGTCTTTCAGTTCAGTTTTTATGTTTATAGTAAAAGTTACAAACCAATTGGTATATAATCCAAGTGGATCCTACTAATATAAAATATTAAAACTGATCCACAAAAAGAGCTTGATGTATTTATTACAGAGCAAATAATTAATAAACAACAAAATCCAAAATCACCTCATATGAGGTAATTTTGGCAGACAAAGATATTAATTGTTGTTTGTCTCATCAACCCCGGCGTGGACTTAGTTCATGTCAGAAATAGAAATTGTGCAAGCTACAAAAAAAAAAAAAAATTAACCGATTGAAAAACTAATCCAGAATTTATCGATTTCAATGCTTCATTCAGACAAAAGGAATGAGTTAGGGGTCAGGGGAGGGTGGAAGGTATTTGTCTTAAAAGGAAGAAGTTTTATAAAATTAAAACCCAAATATTAACCTTATGACATTAATTTGCGGTTACATTAAGAATAAAATATTAATTTAAAATTAAAAGAGGAATAAAAAGGGGTTTAAAAATAACTTTGAAATAAGTAGATAAAAGGATGTAAGGGATTAATGGAATGAGGGTTGGGGAGATCTTAGAGGAGGGGAAAAATTTATAACTTATAAATATAGTGTAAAGACATATAGAGGGGGTAGAAATAGAAATTAGAATTAGTTAGGTATTCGACATTTAAAGAGTTAGGGAATATTAAGAAAATATAGTAGCTAATTAAATTCAACTTATATTATGGAGATTTGAATTTTTTTTGTGCTGACATTTTAACACTAATTCATTCCTCATATATATATATATATATATATATATATATATATATATATATATATATATATATATAAATTTTTTTAAAATAAAAATAAAATAATTATAATTTAGGCTTTACTTATGTATTGAGCACTGTTTTTTAAAATAAAAAAAAAAATACTAAAGAACTCCGGATTATTTACCTGATGTGTTCTTTACTATTTTTCTATATATTTACACACACACACACACACATATATATATATATATATATATATATATATATAGCAAAGTAAATACTCTCTCTCTCTTTCTCTCACTCACCCACACACACACACACACACGTAAAGTAAATACTCACACAAACATTGAAAAGTAAATAAATATAAAAACATTCAAACCTGTACCCTGTTTTGTAGACTTTTTCATATCCAATGCTCAGTAGTTTTGAGTGGATGGGTGGTTAACATATAGCATCTGATGTCATATAAGACACTTTTTTTTCTTTTTTTTATATTACACTGTAATGGAGTTCAGCTTGATAAAAATATTGGTAATCTTTTGTGTCATTGTAAGCATTAGTCTACTCAATTTGCAGGTGGTACAGCTGCAGGGCTTAATATACTACCAAATATGGTATTTCTAATTTGCATTTGAAATGTGTGAATCTCATAATGATTTTGATTGGCTGTTTCTAGTTTTTTATCATTTGGAGCCATAAAGTGTATCTGAGGTGTGCTATGTGAAAAGGGCATTTTTAAAACTTTTTTTTTGTCACTTCAATGAAAACTCCTCGTCATTGAAAATAGCAAATGAACTTTTTTAGAATGGTTTTCCTACTGTTCTTTTTAACTCCATGGCAACTGACATCTTATAAACCTTCCAAAATCATGGTTAATCCATCCAGCTGAGTAAAAAAAACAATGACAAGGTAATTTGTTAATTTTAATTAGTTTTTCTTTCTTATTGTTGCTTTTTACTGCTTTTTTTTTTTTTTGTTCACCTAATATACACAGAATGTAAATTTAATCACACTTTAGTGCTGTACACTAAAGGTTTATTTTGAAATTTCGAATGTTTTGATGTCGTATGTGCATTCCACTTTATATACCTTTGTCTGTGCACCTCTTAACACTGTCTTCTCTTGATTCACACGTTCAATTCACCTAATTGTGCAGGCATTTATTACTGCTCACTGATTATATTGCTACGTTTGCTGTGACTGCTAGAAGACTATTGACTGCAACTTATCACAGAAAGTTGCCAAATTATGTGTCGAACAACAAAGATAAAGACACTTATCAGAATAATGGAAATATTTCATCTCAAAACTTTACAAATTTTCAAATAAATTAAGATGAAGATGATGTTTTGCATTACTAAAAAAAAAAAAAAAAAAAAAATGCATTCTCTGCCTACAGCAGAATGTGGAAATCCCACAACAGAAGAATTTCTGTCACTGAGTTTTTATGGTCTGACAAGTAGCCCAGGTTTGCTGAGAGATGTGATTTTTATGAAGCCACCAATGTTGCCAACTAAGGCTATAGAATTCCAGTCTGTCCTGCTATTTCGCCCATAGCTGGAGGGAGAGAAGATTTATTCATACCTTTCCCAAGGGTATTTGAGTATAAGTGAATGTAATGAACTTGACTGGAATTTGAACTCTGCTCTCCGATTTCTCATTCTGAGCCACTATCCATTACGCCACATGCATATACATTGGCATTCATAAGTCTCTCTCTCAAATCATAAGAAAAAAGTTAATTTCTGCAAGGTATATTGCATTTGGTTGTCTTAGACTGTTTCTCAGGATTTCTTCTTTGGTACAAATGTTAAAATCTCATTTTAAGTGAAAATAATCACAAGGGCAAGCAGAAGAATTCACAAGATTCTCTTTCTTAAAACATTTTGGTTATATTCAAAATAATTTAGTGTCTAGTATCTTTTTTTCCAAATTTATCTTCTGAGAAAATTAGACTTTCGCTTCACTGCAACAGATTCTCTCAAGAGAATCGTCATGAGTATGTAAATAAATAAATACAGCATTATTATAGCTAGAAACCTGTGTGAAAATTTTGCAAGTTGAACTTTCTTTTTCCTTTTTCTTCTCTTTCGTCTTTCTTTTCTTTGCTCTTTTCCTTTCTCTTTTCTTTTCCTTTCCTTTCTCTTTTCTTTTCTTTTCTTTTCTCTTTTCCTTTCTCTTTTCCTTTCTCTTTTCCTTTCTCTTTTTTCTTTTCTTTCTCTTTTTTCTGTTTTCTTTTCTTTTTTCTTTTCTTTCTTTTTTCTTTCTTTTTCTTTTTTTTCTTTTCTTTTTATTTATTTTCTTTCTTTTTTCTTTTCTTTTCTCTTTTCTATTTTCTTTTTTCTTTCTATTTTCTTTTCTTTATATTCTTTTTTCTTTTCTTTTTTTCTATTCTTTTCTTTCTTTTTTTTTTCTTTCTCTTTTCTTTTCTTTCTCTTTCTCTTTTCTTTTCATTCTCTTTTCTTTTCTTTCTCTTTTTTCTTTCTCTTTTCTTTCTTTTTTCTTTTCTCTTTTCTTTTTTTTTTTTTCTTTTTTTTTTCTTTTCTTTTCTTTTCTTTTTCTTTTCTTTTTTTTTTCTTTTTCTTTTCTTTTCTTTTTTTTTTTTCTTTTTTCTTTTTTCTTTTTTTTTCTTTTCTTTTCTTTTTTTCTTTTCTTTTCTTTTCTTTTTTTCTTTTCTTTTCTTTTTTTCTTTTTCTTTTTCTTTTCTTTTTCTTTTCTTTTTCTCTTCTTTCTTTTCTTTTTCTCTTCTTTCTTTTCTTTATATTTTCTTTCTTCTTTTCTTTTTCTCTTCTTTCTTTTCTCCTTTCTATTTTCTTTTCTTTCTATTTTCTTTTCTTTTTCTCTTCTTTCTTTTCTCCTTTCTATTTTCTTTTCTTTCTATTTTCTTTTCTTTTTCTCTTCTTTCTATTCTCCTTTCTATTTTCTTTTCTTTCTATTTTCTTTTCTTTTTCTCTTCTTTCTTTTCTCCTTTCTATTTTCTTTTCTTTCTATTTTCTTTCTTTTTTCTTTGCTTTGCTTTATTTGTTATCTCACAGAAACCAAACAAGATTTCTGATACATCTTTTCCAACTTGCATTCAAAATAAAATACTCTATTATTTATAATGTATTGGTGGTGCATAAAAATACGTGCAAGGGAACAAAGCAGAAATTCATTCTGATGTTTTTGTGGTAAAGATTAATAAAAACACAAAACTGAATCTTGTACATAATAATTATTGTTTATTCATATCTGGACTTCATTGCTATTCTGATGTGACACTGAGTGCATTGTCTACTTTGATGTTCTTTAGATTAAAACCTCAGTACTTACTGATATTACCACAAATTAACTTATCTTGGAATAAAGATTCCTTGCCAGAATTAGTAGTAAAAACTTTTTATCTTAGAAATTTAGCTTGTTTGTAATTCATTGGAATTTCTTTTTATTTAATAGGATCTTTTATTAATACTTATTAAGACAATTGATCAAGTGACTGCAAGTTAAATCCCTTGAGCAGGTAATGAAACACTGGCAACAAACAAAAACTGACATCACAAGGACAAAATAACATTTTCTTTTTTTATAATGCCACTAAGACACAAGATTCTACAAAAAGTGAAACAGAAGGAAAAGACTTTAGAAGGAACCAGAAACCCAATAATAGTATAAATTTCAGAGTTTTATATATATATATATATATATATATATATATGTGTGTGTGTGTGTATGATGAAAAATATACATGCACGAAAAATTTCATGTACATATAAATATATTTCTTCTTCATGTGTTCTAAATACAGTGCTCAATATTATGAAACAGAGCTATAAGTATATATTAGTGAATATACGTAATATCCAATGTTGATAGCACGGCTCAAAGTTTCATGCAGTTGCTGCAATCTTTAGGTGCAAATGCAATCTGGCCATTAATTTGTGTTCTCATGGTGATGTTTCCAACTTTTGTGTTAAAATTTCATTATTTAATTATTGCTGCCTAAGACAATTAGAATTAACTGATAATAATTTATGTCATTTAAGTTTATAAGTTCAAAAGGTGAAAAAATAAAAAAAAAAAATTAAAGAAATTAAAAAAAAAAAAAAAAAATGGAGATAATTAACCTGGATTACTCCACTAAAAATTTAATGGAGGTAATTACCCCAGAGTACTCCACTAGAAACAATAGACAAAATAAGCTGATCTTGTTAAACAAAATTGAGAGCGTTTTAAAAAAGATGAGGTGGTAGCTATTCTTCTCTAAACCAACTCATGATAACATACATGACTATGACAAAGAAACTTATGGTTTCAAATCACCAAAAAATCCAAGTGACAGACTACTATCAGAATTCAAATTATTCTCTATGATAAATAACAAATTTAATAACTACACCAATGACCTACAACATAAAATGTAGAGAGAAATCAATAAAATCAAATCTTATAAGATAATTATCAAACTGGATAAGACTGGTAACCATTCTTTCATCGATACTGAATTATACCACAAAGCTATCACAAGAGAAGTATGTAAATTCTATAAAAAAAACGGATCCATTTTCATTTTGCAGTTTGCACAGGGAGAAAAAAATGTCTGCATATATGGTAATTGTATTATTAGCTGTTTCCTTACAAGGAAACATTTGGCATTCATTGACCGAGTAGCCAGTACTGCTTTTGGTTTATAAAATATTTCTCTACAGTTTTTCAGGAAAATAGGTCTCTCAAGTGCAGAAGTTCTTTCTCTTTCCAGGTTTCATTCCTGAGCTTTTCTTTGAAGTAGTGTCCATGAAGGCAACAGGAAAAAATATTGCTTACCATTTGTTTTTTCCTTTAGGGGAGTGTCTTTGTTGATTAAAAAAAACAAAATAAAATATATTCACATTTTGAGTATTTATGCAGCCGAAAAGTACTAAACTGACTTCAACACACGTAGAAGAAACTATTAACTATAATGCCAAAGGTATAGCGACTGAACTTAAAAGAGACAATAGAATCCCTAAACTTTACAAACAGGCTTTCATCCCGATTAAAGACTACAAGGAGAATTTCCTAAATAACCCCCAATACTGACTGCTCAACCCTTCTAAAAACAACATAGGTATTATCAGCAAAACCATTATGGAAAGAGCATGTAAATATACTAAAAAGGCTTTAGGCATCAACCAGTGACGAAATGGAGCTTTAGCTATTGAATGGTTCAGAAATATAAATAGGAAAGAAGATAGATTTTTAAAGTGTGACATCTGTGACTTCTACTCATCCATCATGGAAGATCTACTGATGGCAGCCATTAATTTAGCCAAAAACTATTGCCATATCTCCGACCAAGAAATAAATGTCATAAAGGCGCAGAAACTGATTTTATAGCATGACAAAACTCTACGGACTAAGAAAGATAACCAAGACTTTTGCATTTCAATGGAAGCACATGACTCTGCGGAAGCATGTGCTGTTGGGATACTGTTACTATGGCAACTCGGATTTATCTCTGATATAAAAAACAATGGTATATACAGAGACGATGACATAAGTCTCTTTCGTAAAATGAGACTTAGACAAGCAGATCAGACAAGAAAGGACTTTATCAAATTCTTTAAGGACCATAAACTAAATATTACCATCAATATCAATGCTAAAGTGATCAATTTCCAAGACGTTACATTCAACCTGAGTAAACCATAGACTAAAGATTTACACAACCATGAGTATATAGATAGAAGATCCAATCACCATAAAAAGATACTTGACAATTTGCACAAATCTGTACAATATAGGTTATCAACCAACTTCAGTAATAAAGAAATACTTGACGATAATAAAGCCAGATACAACAAAACACAGCAACCATAATGTGAAATTGGAGTATATAGTTAGAAATAAAAAAAAAAATAAGCTAAAACAATGCAAATGTAACATTATATGGTTCAACACGCCATACCACTAATGTCAAAACCAATGTAGGTAGAATTTTTCTAAATTTAATTAACAAACACTTTGGTCATTCTCCAACACTATAAAAGATTTTCAGCAAAAACAACATTAAGGCAAGCTATAGCTGTACAAGGAGGCACAGTGCAGTAATGGATAGTGGCTCAGATTGAGGAATCAGAGAACAGAGTTTGAATTTCAGTCGAATCCATTACATTCACTTATATGCCAATACCCTTGAGAAAGGTGTGAATCCTCTTCTTCTCTCCCCGGCTATGGGTAAATAGCAGGACAAACCGGCTTCTATAGCCTTGGATGACAACTGGTCTACCACAGAAAGAAATGGCAACCTACTGTGGGGGTAAAAAATCTACCTCGTCAGTCATGTATTGAAAGATACATGATTGCCTAAGCATGTATCATGCATGGTACATAACTGACTGATAGCTGTACAAAAAACATAGATAATTACATATCCCAAAATAACAATAATGTATTAAGCAAGTTCCAAAGCAAAACACTAAAAATTAATACTACTAAAAGCCAATGCAACTGCTGTAAAAATGTAGCCTATCTATTAAACGGCCAGTACATGACTGAAGGCATAATATACAAAGCTAGCATTGATTCAGACGATGACGTTAGATATTACTTTGGATATGCTTGGAACAGCTGGAAATCATGTTTCTACCACCACAAAATGACACTGAGCAATAGTAAATATAAAAACTGCACATTACTTTCAAAGTATGTTTGGTGATTAAAAAACCACCACCAGAACCCAACAATTAGCTGGGAAATAATTGCGAAAGCTCAGTCATACAATGGAAAGGGAGAGAGATGTAACTTGTGTTTGTTGGAGATGCTTATAATATTAAAACACTTAAATAACCCTAATTTACTGAACACGAGATTCAAATTAATGTCTATATGTATCCATAAATCCAAGCACCTGCTAAAATACATTGACCCTGATTAAGAGAGATTACAAAATAGATTTCATGAATATTATAATATGCTATAAATTTTAATATTCTTAGAACCCATCATTAATAACATTTCTTATAATATCTATACACATATATAATCCAATATTACTGTACTCTATTTATAACGTGTGTTTATTTCATTTCATCTTATGAGTACCAGGCTTGGTTCCAAACACATTAGTCAGATGGCGCCAACTGTTTTTTTTTTTATTTGCACGCTTATATACTATATTTTTGTCAAAAATGAGAGTTACTCCCTTTGATATTAATTGCTTTTGAATTCAAATAATTTAAAAAAAATGTTATTTCTTCGCCTTTTGAACTTATGAATTTAAATGATATAAATTAGTTAATTCTAATATTTTAGGCAGCAATAATTAAATTAAGTTTTAACACACAATTTATACCACGAGAATGCAAATTAGCAGTCAGATTGTATTTGCACCTGAAGATTGCAGCGAGTGCATGAAACTGAGTTGTGCTATCAATGTTGGATATTATGTATATTCACACACATACACACACACACACACATATAAAATTGTGTATTTGGGCAGCAAATATTTTATCAGTTGTTTTTAATGAAACTTGCATAAAAGAAGGTTTGCTGCCCAAATACACAACTATTAAATTACACGACCCAGCAGCCAACAAGGAAAGTCCCTCAATATCCTGTCAGTCATCTTTAATATAACTTTGTGTGTGTGTATATATATATGTACACACACACGCATGCGAGAGTGCTGCAATGTTCTGAGCTCAACTGAGAAGCCGTAGTGAAAAAAAATCTAATGTTTGTTCCTTTGGTCAGATTCGGGAGAGGCAAGTTGTTTAGAGAAATTGTCAGCAGGGGCTGAAATATATGAGAGAAAATGATATATAAATTTTTATATGCCAGAACAATGATAGGAAAATCGATAAAGTGGAAAAACATTCTTGTAAGGCATGTTTCAGACTTCTTCAGGCTAAAGAGATGGTCACATTGATGTAACGTGTGCACAGAGGGAAGTCACTGAAAATTTAAATTTTTATTTTTTATAAATGTGTTGGGATACATAGTCTAGCCAATTTCGTTTATTTTAACTTTTTGTTTATATTTTTATCATTTTTGTTAAGGTGGACAAGTGAAATGGTTCCATTAACTACATTATTT